TCAGAACTCAAGTACTCTTTTTCATCACCAGGAATGATGGACAGAACAAATTCATTTATCATTTCAACTACTTTGAGAGTTGGTGCCAATAGTGCTCTATCCTCAAAAAAGAATAATTTTTCATATTCTCAAACATAAGTCATTTCCCAATATAAGATTTAAACTTTTTCAGATTTTTCATTTTTCATTTTTCAAATTTTTCATTTTTCATTTTTAAAACGTTTTCCCAATATAATTTTTCAAATTTTTCATTTTTCATATCTGCACTAAATAGCACTAAAACAAAAGTCATTTTCCAATATAAAACTTAAATTTTTATTCCTTAAATAATACTTAATAATGTCTAGAAGAAGAAATAATATCCTGTGACAATGAACATTTATCTAAATAATGACTAATGGATAATGGCTAAAAGTGCTACATTTGTGTGTGTGTCTATATATATATATATACATATATATATATATATATACATACATATATATATATATATATATATAAGTAAATTTAGTTGAACACAGCTTAGTTGCCATTTTGATAAATGAATTACGTGTTAGATATAAGTAAATTTTCCAATTTAAAAATTATATTTGAACTTTGAATTATTTACATTGATCATTCCATATCAATGCCTAATTTTTTCCTCGCATTCATATCATTTTATTTTAAAATATATACTCACATTTTTTTATATTCACCCATTTTATATCAAATTTATTGCAAAGTTTTGATTTTTTTTTTAAATTTTTAAATATGAATATATTTTTACTCAACTTTGTTAATATTCGTACATTTAATTGTTTAAAATATTCAATATGTATGAACTATGTTTTTCATAAAAAATATAGAAAATGAAATTAAAGAGTCATGTTTAGACAACATTTTATTACTATTGATGAAAATATAAAATTGATAAAAAACAATCAGTAAGCTAGATGCATACCTATATAAATCAACAATTATACATTTTAACTATTCATGATTTCTATGAAACCTTTGAACGACGTTTGACTTTTTTACGGATGCTGATTATAATTGATAAAAAAACATGACTATAATTAAAAAAGTACACATATTTTTATCTTTTCTTGGAGTGTTCATTTTCACATGGAGATTTTATTAAATCCTTCTAAAATTGAGATCTAATTTTAAATTTTGTATAAAACTTCTTTTTTAACATAAATTAATTTATATATACTAACGATTTAGATATGAAGATAAGAAAATTTTTCAATGCTCATTAAAAAGCAACCATATAAATTTTAAAGAAATATTTGCACTAAATAGCACTAAATCTTAAGTCATTTCTCTAAATAGCACCTAAACTGCTTTATTCCCTAAATAGCACTTAATAATGTTCATAATGTCCAGTGATGACAAATATTTACTTGAATAATGACTAATGTATAATGACTAAAATTGCTACGTTGGGAAGAAAAACACATGTGGTGCTATTTAGGAAAAGTCATTATGTTTTAGTGTTATTTATGTAAATTCCCCAATTTTTGACAAAAATTCTAGTCACTTAAATATCCCGTTTGATTTTGTTATTTTAAAACATTCAAAAATGTTATGTACCAAATTACCTTAAAACAATAAAACAAAATTAAATATATTAAGATAAAACAATATTTAAAGTACGTACCTTTTCTATCCTTTTTTTTTGTTGAAGTATTCCTTTTCTCCTTTCTCTTGAATCTCTAGCTGATCTCGTCCATGTATCGTCAACTTGATTTTCCATAGCCCCAATTGAAATTTAAAAATAGGATGCTCCTACCACCAATCCTTTTAAAAACAAAAGGCTAAAGTTGAAATAACGATTCTCCGCTTATTTATTGCATAATTAATTCTGAATACCTATGTATTGAAATGGAAAATGAAAATGGGTGGTGGATGTCAAATTTCAACTCATTATATATCTCTTTTTATAATATGATTTTGACCCAAGTATATAAGAGTTTCCATAAATTTGGATATAAAAGTGAGCAATTTAACTCATTGTCAGTTAGATAAATAAGTAATGAATTCAAAATAATATTGGGTCCATCCTAGATATAACGAATCCTTACTAAAAATATACGAATCTAGAATAATATTATTGATTATCAAAGATAAATAATTAACGATTGCCATATATAAGTAAATGGATCCAAAATAATATCAGTGTTCTCCAACATACATAATAATATAATATAAGGTGATGAATAATATACTCATGATCATAATTTTCAAATTTAGTACTATTTAGGATTGTTTCTTAATAATATTTTTCGTAAATTTTGTCAATCACCATATGTTAAGGAAATAATCTATTCTTGGACATCATATCATACCATTCATGGCTATGCATGAATCATTTTCTAATGCACAGCCCTATTAGGATAGTTTCACATTTAATTATTTACTTACCTTTTGTATTTTAGGAAGGCCTTTATTATGGCGAGAATTCCTTGGTAAAGGATTAATATATGTAGCATGAACCTAAAATTCAATTTAAATGAATTAAAAATATTATATTTTTTTATTTTTAAATAGTATTTATATTTCTTCATATTTATTTTTAATTTTTTATATTATCATCGTAATTGGAGTTTGTATTGTTGTAATCTGAATACATATATTTACATATAATATTATTGATTATCCAAGATACATAATTAAGGATTGCCAAGTAAAGAGATCGAAAATAATATTAGTATTATTCAAGATACATAATATAAGTAAGGTGATGAATAATATACTCGTGATCATAATTTTCAAATTTAGTATTATTTAGGATTGTTTCTTAATAAGATTTTTCGTAAATTTTGTTAATGATCATTTATAAGTAAGGTGATAAATAATATATATACTCATGGAAGTAAGAGAAATAAGTAAGGAATCAAAAATAGTATTGAAATTTCTATTAGTATAGGTACTCTATTGATTTCAACCTATATATACATGAATTTCCATTAATAAATCTTTGTTACTTATTAATTTAAGTATGAAATTTATAAATATGGAAGTAAGATAAAGGATTAATAAATGTAGCATGGGTCTAAAATTTTATTTAAGTTACATGAAAATTATTATATTTCTTTTTTATTTTATAAATAGTATTTATATTTTTTCATATTTATTTTTAATTGTTTATATTATCCTCGTAGTAGGAGTTCGTATTATTGTAATCTGAAAACATATATTAACATATAGGGTGGGGTTCTAGTGCCACCGGAGAACGGTGCCACTCCGGTGCCAGTGGGTTTTTGGGGCACTTTCGCTGCTCCGTTCGTAAAATTGACGGTTCCTACCCCCACCCTACCCCCACCCCTGCACCCCACCTCAACCTGCCGTAAGCTCCCCACAAAATGTGTGGCTATTATGCATTGTTCCAAAGGGGGTTTAGGGGGTGGGTTAGGGGGTAGGAACCGTCAATTTTACGAACTGAGCACCAAAGGTGCTCCAAAAACCCAGTGGCACCGTTCTCCGGTGGCACTAGAACCTAGCTGTAACATATAATATTATTGATTATCCAAGACACATAATTAAAGATTTCCATATATAAGTAAATGGATCCAAAATAATATTAGTATTATCCAACATACATAATATAAGTAAGGTGATATTATACTCGTGATCATCATTTTCAAATATAGTATTATTTAGGATTGTTTCTTAATAATCTTTTATGTAAAAAATAATATTCTAATTTCCATTAATATAGGTACTCTATTGATTTTAACTCTTATTATACACGAATTTCCACAATAAACATTTGTAACGTAATAATTTAAGTATGTAATTTTTAAATATGGAAGTGAGATGAAGGATTAATATATGTAGTATGTTCCTAAAATTCTATTTAAATTAAATGAAAAATATTATATTAATTTTTTTAAATAGTATTTATATTTTTTCATATTTATTTTTAATTATTTTATATTATCATCATAATAGGAATTCGTATTGTTGTAATATGAAGGAAAGAATTTCATTGAAGGCCAGTGATTATCTCGTAGAAAATCTGCGGTCAATTGTTTTCAACGGGAGATCTGCTGGTGTATCGTATATAATTTATTTTTGTTGGTTTACTTGGATATTACGTGGCGTGCTGACATGTTTAAATTTTGCCACATAGACATGCCAAATGACAAATTTCTGTATATCCGAGTCTCCTTTATTATATTAAAGGATATGAGCTACTTAAAAAATGTAAGCTACAAATAATATACTTGCACCGGTCCTCCCATTCAAATGAGTACAGTCCTCTAAATTTTCTAAATATTGGAATGGCGTGGAAAGCCAATTGAAAAACGACAAGAGCAAACTAGTCTTAAATAACACCGAGTTTCGGATTTTGTCCAGGACATTTTTTATATTTGGGTGTTGTACGATCTAAACTTGTGATTTTTTTAGGGAAAAAAAGGTCACCTTAAAAAGGTCACCTTAAACTAGTGATCTTTTGGTCAATACAATTCTAATATTATGTTAAAAAATCAACTTAATACTCCTTCCGTCCCTAAATAAATTTCCCTTTTTGACTTTTTGAAGATTCAAGGGAGGGATATTTTTGTATTGACTTTCCAAAAATACTCTTGATGTGATGTGTAAAAGTAAGATGTGATATGTAGATTGTTAGTAAAAAGGTATGATGTGATAGGTAGGGTATGAAAAAGTAAGGGGTAAAAAGAGTTTTTTAAAGAAAAATAGAAGTTTATTAAGGGACAAAAGAAACGAAAGGAGAAGTTTATTTAGGGACGGAGGGAGTAAAAAACTTAAGTTTGTAACTATAGGCTTAGAAAAAAATGCTTAAATTCTACTCGGTAATTATAATTTTTTACAATAACAACATAGATATGGATCATACACTTTCTTATACCAAAGACCAATACAATTCTTTGACACTGCATCTGCATCCCAATGTGATAATATGACACTGGACCAATTTAAAACTCCTAACAAGACACTCCACTCAACTCTAAAATGATTCATATAAACCTCCTTTAACTATCCCTTAACACCCAACCCCCTTGTCTACCTCCCAGGCCCCCAATTTAGGTCGACATTCTAGGGAAAGTTGTTTACCAAAGAATGAACCGTACCTAATTGGGGATGAGTAGGGAGCGAGCTAGGATGGGCGAATTTAGGGGTGAATTAAAGATGTAAAACATATTTCGAGATCAAATCAGCCAAGACACTAGCCAATGTCAAAAGAACCGTGCTCTTCTTCTTGTTGTCTACTTCGCAGCCATGCTTGGATTGCTTGCCATCATCGTATATCTCGCATACTTTGTCCTTTTCTTGTACAAAATTTCCGGCATTAGGGAACCGGGCGCTCTGGCCTTGAACCGGAGTTACATGGAGTATCGGCTCGACCCGGAGGATGGGGCCCCGGGCTGGGTCCGTGGGAAGCTTGATCACTGGGGTGATGCTATCGCAACTTGTCTCGCCAGCAGTGTTCCAAAGTGTGCTCAGTTGGATCTGCAGGCTTATTCTGGGCCTGAAGATTTCTTCAAAACAAATCTTACAGCCTTCGAGGTACTACTCTATTTTTCTTTTTTTTTTTTTTTAAATACGGAGTAATTGATAAGGCACCAAATATTTGCACTAAATAGCACTACAATTAAGTCATTTCCCTAAATAGCACTGAAATTGTTTTATTCCCTAAGTAACACCTAATAATGTCCAATGATGGCAAATATTTTCTTGAATAATGACCAATGCATATGATTAAAAGTGTTACACTGAGAAAAAAAACACATGTGGTGCTATTTAGGGAAAGTCATTATGTTTTAGTACTATTTAAGTAAATTTCTCGCACCAAAAGCCTCCTCAATGATATTTATTTTTATTCGAACCTTGTGAGAAATAATTTTTTTTAAAAAAGAAAATAGCAATGAGTTTTGCACTCCCTTGACTTTTTTATCAACATTATTCTAATATCATATCAAAAATTAAGTAACCAAAACTGAGAAAATTTTGTATACTCTACGACTACTCATTTCTTTGTAAAATAACGGTACGGTAAACACACTGGGCTTCAAACAAATGACCTCTTGTTTAAGAGAGTTACATTTATACCGCTTGACGACATCAGTTCTTTGGCAATTTTTAGTTTGAAATTATATACTCCATCCGTCGTAGTTGGTCCTTCTCATTATGCGTTACATGACTAAACTGATTTTATTTTCAACTTAGCACATTTGATTGTTTGTGTAAAATTTAAAAATAAAATTTAAATATTTAAAAAATTAGACAAAAGGTTTTAGAAGACAAGAGTGATATGACTATATTACATTATAAAATAAATAGAATAAAGTTTGATCATATAATTAGTTTATGAGAAAATTCAGCATAGACCGAGAGAATATTCTACTCCCTTCATCCCTGAAAACTTTTTTTTCATCCATCTCAAAAACATTTTTCTCATTTCTATTAAAAAGATATTTTTACCTCTACCTATCACATCGATCATATCTATTGATTAATAATCTATCCATTAAATCTTATTTTTACTCATCACATCCAAAGATATTTTTTAGAAATTTAACACCGAAATATATTTCTCTTAAATTCCTTAAAAAACAAAACCTCTCATGTTTAGAAGACGGAGTGAATATTAATCTACACTAGAGTAATACTGGGTCTTATGAAAAATTTCTAAAGGAGTGATATTGTAGCTATTTTCTCAAGTATGTGATGCTTGACTCACAAAAAATTTATAGAAATCATTCTAAATAGAATTAAAATATAGAAAAAAATATCAAAATAGGACCTTCATTTTTTTTTCTCGAAATAGGACTCGCACTGTAAGAATGTGATACTATACATGTGCATATTACTATATTTTTGGTTATGTACATGACCATGTTGGGTAATGTAAATGCATTTTAAGTTTTATTTCAGAAATAAAAATATGAAAGTTCTATTTTGATACATTTTTAATATTTTAATCTTACTTTGATCTTTGTTTCAAAGTCCCTTTTAAATAACGAATATTTAATTTATCCGAAAGTATATAATTAGCGTTTTAGGCCCATTCGAATTGGATCTCAGTGTACCATAGAGTAGTACTGGGTCTTATGAAAGTTTTTTGAAAGAGTGGTATTGTGGCTTGGCTATTTTCTCAAGTATGTAATGCTAGACTCATAAAGAGTTTGGACACAAATTATACAAATTTTTCATTTGTGCATTTTCTTAAATGAATAAAATGATTTTTAAATAATTTAAAAATAATAATTTAATTATACAAATGAATAAATAAATAAAATTATGTTTGAGAAAGTCAATGTGGATCTTGTGAACCTTATGTGTTATGTCCATAATATAACTTTTCTTCTAGGATACTGCCTAAGAAAATTTAAATTCTACCCCTTGCATTTTTAACTAAAACTGTAATATTTTGAAATGGATCTTACTCCAATTACTCTTTCCGTGGCTGAGTTTTTATCCATTTTTTTTACTTTTTTTGTCAAAATGGTTAAAGGTTGATCACAAATTTAATAAATGTGATACTCCATCCGTTCTTGAGTATTTGTCTACTTTTGATTTTTTCGGTCAAAATTTTGTAAACTTTGACCTCAAATTTAATAAAAATGAAATTAGATATTGATACGAAAATGGTTTTATTAGATTTAGTATATAAAATATTTGTAAAATATTATTTTATCTAATTACTATACAATATATATTTTATTTAATTATAAATCAAAGGTTGAAAATAGTTGACTAAAAAAAGTCAAAACTGAACAAATACTCTGGGACAAAGGTAGTATAAGATATTGATACCAAAATAAATTATTAGATTCATTTTATAAAATATTTTCAAAATATTATTTCATCTAACTAATATACAATATGTATTTTATTTAAAAATGTTAAAAATGGTTAATTGCAAAAAATAAAAAAATAGGCAAATACACAAGGAAAAAAGCAGTAATTTTTAAACTCTGTATTTAACATATTTTTACCCAAATCAAGTTTATTTTCAACCTAATGAAACACAAAGAGTCATAGTCCCAGTGGAGTTTGAATCAATACCACCTCAAATTTTGATATTCCGTATTTAACTTATTATTTAATTTTACCAAATCCATTTTATCCTCAGCCTGAGATCTCATACTTACATAAATGTATATTTTGGCACGTACAATAGCTTATTACATTGTCAATATATAATTACACTTGAATTTCTAAATTGCAGTCAGGATGCTGCAAGCCACCAACACCATGTGAGTTTACAATCCAAAATGCAACAAATTGGATAGCCCCAGTGGCTCCCGGGGCAGACCCTGACTGCGTTAAATGGAACAATGACCCAAACCAGCTTTGCTACTCGTGTGATTCTTGTAAAGCGGGATTAGTAGTCACTATTGGGAAGGGAGGAAAAGATGCATGTTTCATTCTGGTTATTGCCTTTCTGGTTTTGGTAGGGGTTTGTTGTTTTGAGGGTTATGCCCTTTACAAGGTCAATGTGCTCAAATCTAAGGATGAACTTAAGAAACCCCAAAAAGGGGATCAAGGAGAAAAGAAGTGATTTGCATTGTTCTAATCAGATCCAGGGCCGGCCCAAGGGTGGGCCGAGCAGGCCAACCGTACCGGGCCCAATGTTTTAAGGGGCACAATTTTTTCATATTTTGCATAATATATATACAAATTTCGTACTACTCTTATATAATAAAAAATAGAATACCCAAAATTGGGTGGAGTGAGGTTCAAACCTAGGCAAATAACTTGTAATGAGATGCTCCATCCACTTGAGCTACCAAGTACATTGTTAGACAACTCACGCAATACTATATATATTTAATTATTTTATTGATTATAAGTAAACTTCCAATTAATTAGAAAAAGAAACACAAGTAGTATCTAATATATTTGTTTAGTAAACTTATAAAACAAGTTTTAAAAATAAATAAACAAAATTATTTATGTTTTATTTTAGATTAATATGAATACTTATACCTAAAAAGTATTTTTTTCAAAAAAAAGAACTAAAATTTTATCATCAATAAAAATTAAGAATATTTAGTAATTATACCTTAATATATTAAAATAATTATGTTCTTCTTCTTTTTCTCATTCCAATCAACTACATTTAAATGTAAATTGCTTTATACACATTGCAGAATATTATATAAAAATACATTACCTAGTCTTTACTTTTTTTAAAATATGACTATTGCCTTACTATTTTAGTTTTATTAGATACTCATTAACTATATTTGATAGTAATAAAAAATAATACAAATAGTAAATTGAAAAACTATGACGTCATATGTAAAATGATATTGAATATTAAATGGAAGAGTGAAAAAACAAAAATATAATATCTAATACTATAATATAAAATATTATTCTTTTAATTATAGTTAACCGAATCATTGACCCTCGAATTGACCGGTTAAATCTTGACCTACTAGCTCGCCCGATTCGATGTCTGATCCAATTTTCAAGATATTGGTTTGGGAAAGTAAGTATAAATAAACCTTTTGATATAATTTTGTATGTGATTTATTTATTTTGTTACATAGTATTATACTATTATGTTAATGTTTATTTAAATATGATTAGTTTATACACTTTAATTCGTTAAGATATTAGGAATAAGACCTTTAAGGCCTCTTTTTCTGTCTCGGCTCAGGCCATCAAGTTCTCGCGGACGGCCCTGATCAGATCACTTTGAGTATTTGTGTTATAATTTAGATCAGAGTGTATAAGGAGACATATTTTAATCACTTCATCTATGTATGATATTTATAATTTGGACCTAAAGCCTGGATGAGATTTATTTATTCGAGTTGAAAAATAATTTTGGGTTTATAGTGCATGCGGAATTGTGCTCCATAAGTTATGCTACCAACTTTGACAATAAAGATGGATCGTGTAATAATTATATAAAAACTTTGACACCAAAGGTCATACTTTGTACGAAGTATTTAATTTGACTTTTTCTTTAGGAAATTGAAACTCACTTGTTAGTCAGATCTATTTTTAGAATAAATAATTACAAATAAATCAATATAATAAAAACATTTCTACCACTACAAGAATATAATGTAATTGCAACGGCACATTTCGTTGCATTTCTTCAATAATTCCGTTGCTAATGGTTATTGCAACAGCTTTTCCGTTGCAATTCAGCCGTTGCAAAAACCCTTGTTGCAAACGCAGAGATGCAACAGAAGTTCCGTTGCAGAGCATTGCATCGGACGGTTGCAACAGGAGCATTGCAACGAAAAGTCCGTTGCCACATTTTGCAACGGTATTTCCATTGCAGTATATTGCATCCAAAGTTTGCAACCATATTTCCGTTGCAAAAAAATTGCTACAGAAAAAGTGCAACAGCAACTCCATTGCTAATGTTTGCTACGGAAAAAAATTATTTGCAACAGAAATTGGTAACGTAGCGACTGCAACAGAATGCTCCGTTGCAAGATTCCAAAAATGCACAACGTAGTGCTTGTTCAATTTCATACCATGCACAATCTATATAAATGGGATACTCAAACACACATGTTTTCAACAAAGCCAAAATTTCAATACTATTCATTAATCAAAATAACCTCCAAGTACTTTTCAAACATCTGAATAATAATATCTGATCTATTGTTGTGAATAAAAACAATTGAAGCATTAACTAACATAAAGGTGCCCTTCCATCTCCGTCGGGTCCATCTTCTCTACGGGGTAAACGATCTCCAAACA